GCTCACATTTTTACAATGTGAAATGAAATGATAACAAAGGATTTCAAGGACTTTCGAATGGTGTGTCACGCGAGAAATTGCTTGCAAGACTAATACGAAAGGACATTCTGGTGAAGTCGTAGGTCAACTCTAAATAAGTCTGAAATGAGCTGGACCATTTGCGGGAATTTACAAATCGAATGAGGAATCGATGGCGGAAATCAGTTGAGAAACCTAGGAGGAATTCACAAGACAAAATCCAGTCATACAGATATCCGCCATTCGTTATGAATATTCACTAGTGGAATAACCCTTGCGCACACGGACTGAAATAAGTCGAATCAGATAATTTCCTGGATGAGTTTCTGCTCTTTCTTCGCCACTTTCACTATTGAAGGATGCAGCCTGCGAAGCAGCTTTTTGTGAGCGTCGTCATGCACGCATATCCACCGACAGTGACTCCAGAAATTCTCTCTTTCTCGCTCGTTCAGTAAATCCCGCCGTAGAATAGCTCAAACTTCCCCAATTTGTAGAACATTTGTAGGGCATTTGTAGAACGGCAAAATTGTAAAAAAAAAATAAAATACTAATATTGCAGCATGATCCCAATTCTGCGAACTTACGTGATGGACTGTTTTAAACTGGTAACGGGACTGGTAAAGCGACAAAGTATGACATATGATAATTTCTGTAGTTACCATAACAACAACTTCCTTTGCCGACAATGACTCATATTATCATTGTTGGTTATGAGCACAGCCCGGGAAGGCATTCAGTAAAATGCTATTCTTATCGCCGAAACTTGGCCCCATGACGTCAAAAATGGCAGAACTTTTTGAACTCTTGACCCAATAGTTATCGCCACGTGGTTTCGAATGACACCTATACTTTTAAACTGAGACACATAGAACGTATGTGGAACTCTTAGTAATTATATGGAAGGCGGAAAGATGGTTCCCGTCTCAAAAGACTCCCAATTTCCCTTTTTTAACAATATCCAGTGAGTTCTATCGCAAAGCATTCTAAAGCGATATATCTTTCGAATTTAAACAGGCTTGATTTCAATCAATTATAAGGGATGCATTTGTCCTTAAGGAAACCCCCTATGGTCTGAATTCAAATGTTAAACGAGTTTCTCTTCTTAGCCTTAAAATGAGACTCGTCGTTTTAATGTAAGATATAAGTTAGATTAGGGGAAGATTGTTGAGCTCGACCGGGATGCGGATCGGCTCGATAGAACCTATCTGACCCGTGCATCGGGCATGAAGCGAGCTTGAGAATCTAGTTACCAGTAAGGTATGGGACATGACGTGTGAGCACGCAACCCGGGAACCGTTCGGTATAACGCTATTCTTATTGGCTGAAATTAGGCCTTACTGCATGAAAAAGTGACGATTTTTTTAACTTTTGATCCAAGAAGTAATGCCTCCTGTCAAAAGCTTTTAATTGCCATCTCACTCATGAAAATCCGTTCATCTGTCTAGGAGGAGTATTATGCATATTTCTATTGATAAGAGAAAGCCAGGAAGCGATTTCACATTACTCATCCCTAAGAAAGAGGTTTTAGGTGTGTTTTTCATGAGCTTGAGATTTTCCCAAATATTAATATTGCATGGTTACCCATGCCAAAGGCACGCTACGCCAACCCGTCTTCTTCCACGGCATTCCCATCATTCTAAACCGTTCACCCGAAAAAGCGTTAGTGCGCAGATCTGTGAGGGTCCCTTAGTTTTCCCTTGGTGAAAATACGCCATCCAAGACCTTGAGCTCCTACGCTTAGAGGAATAATCGGACTGCGGGCCGGCCATGGCAGGACAATGCGATCCGCGGCTCCGAGCAGCAAATTTCGGTCGAAGACCGCATGTGACGTGGTTGACTGCGGACCACGATTCGAATTCTGGTCGATCGAGTTTCAACACGGAAAAGTCAACCCGTGCAGGCCCCTGACGCACAGAAATCACGGGAGAACCCACTGCAACCACGTCCGCAGCGTACTTTCTGAGCTTTTCACGCAATAAGTATGCCCTCCAGGTTATGAGCTTTCGATTGACACCTCGGGTTTGTTTTTATGCCCGACCCGAAGGTTCCCTAAACTGTAATATTTCAAAAAGAAGAAAAACTCCCTAAAGGAAACCAATTTGTATTTCCGAGGAGATGGAAGAATCCCTTTCTTATCATTGGTCAAAATACAATATTCTGAAGGTTTAACGAGGAATACGCGGAGATTTCAGGAAAACTTTTTTTCTGTAAATATCCAAGACCCTTCCAACGTTGAGAGATGTATTCATGAGATCACCAGGCAAAAAAAAAAAATTTGAAAATCGTTTCGAGGCCAAAGAGGCGACTGAATCATTAATTTCAAAAGCAGAGGGCAGAAAGCAGCGGAAACATCTTACGCACAGGGACGGTCAAAGGATATCCCTAGATAAGCCATATCTCTTTCCTCTGGGGGCAACGCAAAAGGGAAATGCATCTGCATCCCGTGAAAATTTACTCAAGACAAACTCCAAACCCGTCGGAGCCAATACAGCGTGATTATTTAGTTTCGTGTCTTCCGTGGCTTATAACTTCATGTGCCTTCGTCGCAGCGTGACGAAAGTGGTATCGAAACAAAGGAATAGACTTCTAGTTTTTGATTACGTGCAATTACCACAACGCAATACGACTACCATAAATGACGTGGTAGATATCAAGTATAGAGGGATCGAAACTCGTCGAGTTGCCAGCGATTGATTTAAATGATTTGAATGTTCAAGGACCAATCACACGGAGATCCTCAAATCCCTACTCCGATGGGCTCTCCCTCGTGACTGGAGCCAGTCCCAAACCAAGTTACATTTTCACATTGGGTCCATTTAACCTTCATACCTGCGTTGGTTTTTCGCCAGGACGAGCTCCAAGAAAAATCTAAGGCCAGCGTGCATAAGCACTAACGGAATTAAGCCATTTGTGAATAGGGTATGATTCTGATTAATCAATTGATCAGTTATTCATTTATTATTATTATTAATCGAAAATACTTTTTTAGAAAATGATGAAAAATTAATTTTCCCATCATTTCAGCATAATTTTATTATACATTTTGTAATGTGGCATTTGAATTTATACCAACTATCAATATTTACTCAGTGCATTTCCCAGGACTATTCCTCCACCCATTCCTCGTATTTCAATATAAGCTTGCTTTGAATATCCCGCTCAAATATTATTCGTTTGCAGTCAGTGGTCGCAACTCATGCTGCAGATAAGTGGGTTGGCGTATGCATAGTTTCTTGTGTCATTTATGTGAAATATATTTACCTGAACTCTTCTGAAACATATTACACGAAATTATCCAGGCGCAGTTGTTTAATTTCATTGGCTACATATTAGTATAGGTCAGTAGAATTTAGATGGAGAGGCCTAGCCTAAGTAGAGAAACTTAGGTCGCAGGTAAGCAAAATTCTAATACTTAAGATATAGGGCCCACGCTCTCAAAATTTGGTGGTTTAATTCGGTTCCTTTTCATTGTTGGAATGGCACATGAGTGAGGAGCTTTTGCAGGGGCATGAGGTGCGAAGTACTGCACATTTTGTTTTGCATTTCATTGACCTTTTTACCAATTTCAGTAGTATTTAATTGTTAATCATTTTTAATCAGTTAATCATTGATTAATCAGAAAATTTCGTCATTCATCACTTTTTCCAAAAATATATTAATTAACCATGCTCAATTTGTGAACTGGAATTGGAAGAACGTGAAAGGGCGACCGCACACATAAGGTCGGAATAGTTCAGTGGCCCAGACAGCCCGCAGAGCCTCAAGTCTTTTTGCTAAATAATTGAGATCCGCTTTATTGAGAGCACGGCTTCCGAATGCTGTTGTTCTTTGTTTACCATCTACTATTTGGGTGAGGACAGCACCGTGACCAACTCCGAAGCATCGAATTTTAGAATGAAAAGGAGATGGAAAGCAGGATATGCCAATATCGGGGCGTCCAACAGGGCAGCAATGCGACAAGAAAAGGCTTCAAAAGCTTCAAGTTTATACTTCACCTTGAAATTTCGTCAATCTTGGACGAACGAACGAGAAAACAAACTCACTATGGTCAGCGACAGCAAAATAACTGACCATCAGCGAGCCAGAACAATCCGATCGCTGGGCACCGACTGGACGGTAAAATGACAATTTATGGATGAGGAGAAGTCCATCGTGGAAGTACGGAGGCAACCGCTTGTGACATGACATGGCATGAGATGAAAAGAGCAAAGGGACTAGGTAATGAAGGATAATTCGATTTCGCAGTCCTATCGCATTTAAAAAGAAACTATGCTTGGGAGTTATTGTAGACCTAGGACGGAGGTAGGCTATTGTCCTATTGTTTCGTGCAGCCCATGATTATGTTCATGCTCAATCCCTTCAGATATCCAATACCTGGGTAGGCCTTACGTTCAAGGCTTATGTGGCTGATGTGATGCTGGAACCGTTGTGGTCTGGAATCGGCCATAGTGTGAGCCGATAGACTACCCAGTGCAAAATACGTGACGGGACTTCTAAACCTCTTCACTGCGGTTTCGGCAGCCGCCACGATTTGTTCCGGAGACTCCAACGGCCAGAGTGTGAATTTTAAACTCTCCATTCGAATAACTGCCGTAACCGAGTCCCACTTCCTTTCCGGATGGCAACTTTGTGGACAGTGATTGTCTGGATCCTCGGATTTCTCGTCTTCTCGTGTAAGTTTAACCCCTTAATAAAAATGATTTTCACAATACTTCATCGATTATTCATGAGAAACCTCTGACGAAAAAGAATCGTAAAAGCATGCATCTTTTCTAATGCACATTTTTGTTTAATTTGTTTAAAGATATTTTCGAGACGGCTTTAGATACGAGAGCTATGAGAAGAAGATATATCTCACTTATTGACTCTAGTGAATACACCATACTGGCCAGGTTCATAATTGGAGCAATCTTGCCTCGACTTCACATAGATATGACTGACGATTCCTTCGACCACTGAGAGCTATGAGAAGAAGATATATCTCACTTATTGACTCTAGTGAATACACCATACTGGCCAGGTTCATAATTGGAGCAATCTTGCCTCGACTTCACATAGATATGACTGACGATTCCTTCGACAACCCATTGACTTTTCAGAAGGCTATGAGATGGGAAGACCATGGGACTCCCCGAATCCCCTTCACACACCGTCCCGTATTCTACGAGAAAAAAGCTTGCAATTCAATGTACTGGATTTCGTGAAATATTTCGGAAATCACACAGATGCTACGACTGTGTAGCATGGTCGTTTACATTTCTCGTGGTAAAATCACTTAATCCATAGTATACCACTTGTATAGTTCGATTTATAATCACGTCCATACTGCATGACACACGTCTTTCTTGGATGCACTTCCATACTGTGCGGATGAAATAATTGAAAAATATAGTAGTCGTACCCGATTGAAATGATGAGATTTCACATACCTTTCGCGTCCTCATTCACGAATGAGGAAGCATTGTTGCGTTCTCCTGCACAAAACGTGTTCCTGGTGATGGAAGCAGGGTGGTCTGATGTCTTCATGCGGATTCTATTTCGACATTCACGCTTTGGTGTGACTGTCAGTTGCACCTCAGTCAAAGCATCCGTTCCTTCGTCTGAAGCGTCTTTCCCCCAACCTGCCACCTGATTTAAAAAATATGTCAATACGTGAAAAAAAGACTGAAGTAATGATGGCATTCCAATGATCGTGGCTTACCCATCCTCTGTGAGGGCCGCCAAATTCATCTTGAGAACCGTCTAAAAAGTCATCAGACAGGTCATCATTGGACGGAAGGCAGATCATAAGACTGAAGTATTGATGGCATTCCAATGATCGTGGCTTACCCATCCTCTGTGAGGTCCGCCAAATTCATCTTGAGAACCGTCTAAAAAGTCATCAGACAGGTCATCATTGGACGGAAGGCAGATCAGCTGAACCCTCTTCGTCAGATTAGCCGAACCGTGGAGTTTCATCAGCGCAATGTCCGACTCGAAGCCAGTGTATTCGTCATGCACGAAGATCTGAATCACCTGCAAGCAACGGGGGACATTACTCCATCTGGGATCGAAAATGTATTTTGACCTGCAAGTAACACGATGTGCTTTTGGGTCTGCACCTTCATAATTTGTACGAATTCATCGTCCTCGGACATATTTCGATAGTGCTTGCCGAGAAGGATGAAGAAATCGTGCACATCTCGAACTGTAATTTTATCGTTGTGTTCCGCGACGCAATGGGCTGCTGTTAGAACCCTCCCTTTCCAATGAGAGCTCCTCCACAGATGATATATTCCACCTGCGCATCGTAGATGGCCACTTGCCAAGGCCATGCCCCAGGTGCTGCTGCCTTCCCTCCACGAACCAATCGCTGAGGCTTTGCGATCGTGTTTCCGATTCGGCCGCACTCTAGAAGCGCAGGAAAACCCACTACTCAATTCCGTCATCTGCAAGTTCTACAGATCGTTGAAACCATTTCTCGATGAAAACAGACCAGGTTCACAGAACGGGTCAGGGCCAGACCATTTTCCACTCGCTCTACATGTTCGAACACGTGGACCCCGAAGAGTATAATAAATATCACACGTGTATTTCACTTTACTTCCGATGAGGTATTTCCTTCCCTGAATGCAATCAGATCTGTTTTTGGAACTGAAAGAAATATGGGGTTTTGTCAGTAGTCAATTCTAATGTTATAACTACACAGAAATTTTCGGACGCATAGGGAAAGGCGCCGTAGGATCGGTCCGACAATCTTTTTGACGAGCATCATTACAATTTTAAAAGAATTTTATTCCACAAAACCGATGCTTCATCCTGAGATGCACAAATAACATAGCAATTCCGATAGTGATCATGCAATTGTATGATAACTTTTATAAATACTATTTCGAGAATAAGGAAAACTAACCCCTTCCCTCCTAAGAAAACATGAGACCATGGTTGAATAATCCTACCTCGGTCCATCATCAGAGCAAGAGAAAATATCGAAGCGTCCGTGTATGATGTCAGGAAGTGGTTCACAACCGGTCACATCTGCCTACAACCGGTAATAATATTCATTCGATCCTTTGATGTTTTGCCGTACGTGACTTTTGATTCCTTTATGGTATGCATGTCCAAATACAGACTTACATTTTCATGGCGAGGTGGAACGATTGCAACGAGGCTGATGCAGCCGACTTGGGTCCCTTTAGGGCATGCGAGGGAAGTATTGAGAGTACCTTCATCGCATGAGCATATATGATGCGAATCGATGCGTTTTACACCTCCTACGTCGTCGGGACCCGGAAGACGACTTGGATTTGTTATCACCTCGAATGCATATTTTCTCGGTGATTCCGTCGAATCAGGGTATTTCAAGTCGGTCCCATTTCCACATGTCCATTTTAATTTTTTCATCGATTCAGGAGCAAATGCCAACCAAGCTAAAGCAGAGTCGCATTGGATGGGATTGTCTGGAATAGTGAGGGGTCAAAGTATAATAAGAAGAATGAAAAGAAGTTGGGTAACCTTGGCACTCACCCTCTAGGTTGAGAAAACCATCTCCTTGGGAAAATTCGTTCAGGATCCGATGAAGGATCCCACCGTCAATTGTAGCTATCTGGTTCCCTCTGAGGTCCACTTTCGTGTGTGTCCAAAGACCTGGAGCATTGGGAAAAATACTCCTCTTCGATTTAAAACATTGATATATATTCATCTTCAGCTTTCCCTTGAAAATGCCTCATGTGAAAACCTTTTTAAAACCATTTGCCCTATTTGCAACTTCAATTAGTTTGGTCATGCGAAGGACATGACACAAGTGTCGTTATGTACTTCAAATGTGAAGTGCTTATGTTAGATGCCGATTGCAGGTGTACAATGGAATATTTTATTTACATGGTGTCCCAGAAACCCCGCCCCAAATTTGGACGAAGAGTAATGGTAAGTGAACGGACACATCACAATTTTATTAGTATTATTCATTTCATACAATAACATCCAGTATCTAGCAGAATAAGTGTGCTGGGATTCACTCTTTTTGTCACTAAATTAGTTTCCCATTCTGATCATGACACATACGGTATCGCTGGGGAAAGTCATCGACTCCTTTCTGTCACATGTCCAAGATTCTGGCATTATGTTGGGTGGAAAGGGCGTTGATGAGATCAGGGATGTTGTGGGGTTTTTTAGTATACAATACTCGCAAAAAGAAACCACAACTCATAATGACAAACATCAAGATTTAACAGCAAAGAAAGTTCAGAAAGTTCCAGGCTTTCAAATGATACAAAATTCTTTCGGATCAGAAAAAAGGAAGACACAACAATGTATAAAACTTGGGGCGGGGTTTCTGGGACTCTTCTGTATAGCCACACTGCCTGAGTGTTGTAGACAAGAGGGATGCAGAAAATTTGGAGTAATTCACAAATTTTACGGGAAGTTCTATTTAGCTCTTCAACATCATGTCAAAATTGACCCATGCAACTTTAAAATTTATTACTTTATTAATACATTTCCTGGTATTTAGAAGATATGAGATATTGCCTTCATGTGTGATTTAAAATGTAGGTTATAAGGTCGTTAGGTAAGAAATGTCCGATTTTCGGTTACTTAACAAGTGATCGCGATTGTGAATACAGAAATTTTAAAAATTATATCAGAGCTATACAGAGTTAGATGAGGTAAGAGGTGCTTAAGAATACGTCATTTCCAGTTAATTCTTTTGTACCGTTATTTTGTTTTTGTAGGTACTTCAAATTGGTTTCTTCATAAGAAATTCGTGTTCTTTTTTATGAGTATAAATTAAACCATAGTGCGTCGCAGAGAGCAAGAAACAGTAATGCTGCTTTTGGAGAAGGAAATGCTAACGAACGGACTATTCGCAGGTGATATGAAAAATTCAACAAAGGTGATGAAAGTCTTCAATATGAGCGCAGGGGAAGACCGCAAAACTAATAGATGACGTCATCTATGAGTTTTTGCGGTCTTCCCCTTGGATCATTTTGAAGTCTTTCATTACCTTTGCTGAATTGTTCAAACCACCAGTGAATAGTCCGTTCAAGCTTCAAGGAACTGATTATGCGAAGCATAAGCAGTTCGTGGACTTTAGAGGGGCATTATTGCATAATTGATAGGAAAACGCTTTCTTACAGAAGCGCAACAGAACGTGTTTCTTCAAACACTTGTGGAGGTGAACGTATTTCTTTTACCAAAATAAAGCACTGTACCTTCTCAGCTCCTGGGAAATCCGCCACTTTCGCTTTCTAGGCTTCAGCGCCACAGGTTGAATGAAAGTGAACTTGGTATCTATGCGACACAAAACTTGATTTGCTTCTGAATATTTTGGTTTTCGTTTCACCTTCTATGATTATTCGGAATAGATGCTTCACATATTTGGGCGGAGGTGATTATTTCACCATTCGTTTCCGTTTCTTTCCCTCCGTGAGATTTCTTTGAATGAACTCAACCGTTTAAACTGTTAATGTTGGGTAATTTTGATATAATATGCAGCTCGATTTTGAAGGTTTCATAGATGCATTAAAGCAGCAGTTTACCGCTTAGAAATAATTATGTGGTAATATTCTCTAACACTATGACGTGAAGGTATGAATCATCATCCATCCAGATAAGCACCGGTTTTATTTTTTTCTGCTGAAGGAAAGGCAACAGATGTCGCAGTAACTTCACCAGGGGCGTTACCATTAGTACGAAGGCTTGCACTCGGGCATATCGAGCAACGATCTGTGTGCATATGCATGTTGAATCTAAACGATTATCTTCAGGATATTATATATGAGAATGGAATTTCATGACACTCCTTTTTTTTTAAACAAAACGCTATATGAACGGGAAAATACCAGATGGTGTAGCAGATATATCAAACCAAGAAAGTAAAAATTTTACCTATGCCAAAAAATATGACATTGAACCAAAGCACCAAGGAACCAGAGGACATTTTTTAAGTGAAGATGCGTTAAGAGATGAGGAGCAAGAATGATTAAATGTATTTCAAAGCAGATTGTCAGCAAGCTTCCTCCGTGTGCTATATTCTAAGATTAGTGAATGAGATGTCTCCTGGAAAATGAAGTTCTAATTGCTCTGTCGTTGAGTCAACCGCTGATGATTCATACCCATCTCCAATATCTCTTCATATTTAGTACTAGCGAGAATATTTTACCCGTCGGGCAAGCAAACTCTCTGTGGTCGCGCCATCGGCCCTCGTTTATCCAGAAGCAAGATTAATTCCTTATTTCATTTTCGAAGTGTTACAAAAGTAACTCACTGTCACTCATCACTGTCGAAATATATGCCTTGAGGGGACATCACCAGGATTTTTATCGAAATGATTGTTACAATGATTTACTATGTCTAACTTCAACTTTATTCATGTGCCCCTTTTGTTTGTGCCTTCGCACATGCACGTGCCTTTTTGAAATGGGGGGAAAATGAATCTTGAAATACTTCCATCCCATGAATTGCCTTCAGGAGATACATTTTAAACTATCAAGTTTGTTTGCTCTTCGGGCAAAAAAACTTGCTAGTTTAAAATAGACAAACTCGCTATTGTCGCACCCAGGGTAGTGATTCATTCAACAATTTATTTTCAAAGTGGGAAAAAACGTATTAAATGTATGTTCCCTTGTGTTTATCGAGGAATGTTTATCGAGAGGAAGCAAACCTTTATTTTCATTGGAATAATTCTCCCATTGTTTCTTGTGTGCCCATCTTCAAATCTCTTCATAATCTGCCCTGAGGGGGTATATTTAAAAAGGATATGTACTCAGTAATCGAACAGGTACTTCTGTTCCAAGTTTAAACTTTCTTTACTTGTCTCCTTCATTGAATCAGGAAAGTTTCCGGAAAATACTTTTTTTTTCGGAAACATGCCCCCAAGAGTTTACCTTAAAAAATTAACATTTTCACTGAAATCAGTTCTCAGAGAACTACGTGCATACCAAGTTTCATTCTCATCTGCGTGATCTTTTTGCTGGTGGAAAATTATATTTGGAAAAAGCCTATTCAGCCAAAAGCTAGGCCCTGGGGGTATGCACCACAAAACCTGATTTTTCTCTGAACTCCCAATCACTTCAATTATTGCTATGCCAAATGTTTCACCTTTCTATCTTTGGCCAATACATTAGAACTAAAAAAAAATCTTTTTGAAAACGTCACCCCCAAAAAGCATGCCCCCGTCGCTTGCCTCTGAATCTTGACATTTTCTCTGAAATTTGTCTCTTAATAGGTACGTCCATGCCAAGTTTCAGTTGTCCATATCTCTCCGTTTGACTGAGGCAAATATATATAATAAAATATATCTCCCACCAAAATGAGTAGCCCAAAGCATCCCAAGTACATCCAAAGTCGGTTTTTTTTCTGAACTACACATTCCAATATACAGGGTGGGTCAAAAAAAACCGGTCCTCTACTTTGAAACCTTATATCTCGGTCCCAAATTGAGCTAGAATAATTTAACAAAAATGAAATGAAAGTTCATTTAATTCGCTTTCCAATGATATCAGTTGCAATTGAGTTCCGCCGAAAAACACGGGAGATAAATTGATT